GTTTTATTTCTGTAGAATTTTCTCACTAAAATCCTAGCAGATAGTATAGTTTTGGATGTTGTTATTGTTTTTGTTTTGTTTTGCTGTTGGAAAAATTTAGTCAGTGCAGCATAATGTTCACTGTAAATGTATTGTCAGGTTGATGGGATAAAATGAATGTTTTATTTTTTAAGCATGTAGGATCTTACCTGTAATACTTCTACAGCAATGGAAAGACTCCCACTAACTTCAGTGGGAGCTGGATCAGGCTTCTAATGATATAGCTGAAAGACGGAAACAAACATTTTTCAGTTTGCCATAGTGATTGGTAGGTAATGCCTCTGATGAGAGGAAACCATGAACAGTGCATTGCGTGGCATTAATTACACATGCACAGTGTAAATAACATACAGAAATGGGGAGAAATGAAAAGGATCTGTGCAGTTGTAAATGGAAACAAGACTTTAATAATAACGTTCAGATTTGTGAGTAGTTTACATTTGCATCGTTCGAAATTGCCTTTTAAACTTCTTGTTGCAGAACTTGGCTAACTTGATGTAATGCTGCCTGTTCAATTTTTCCTTAACAATAAATGATTTATAGCTGTCTCTTCCCAATCATCTGGGTTATAGCTTTTGCAGCGGTTCATTTGCAGAGCAAAAATAAAGCCTGAACACAAAAAATAGAGAAATGGACTTGCTCTTCCATGGCTGGTTTCTGTAAGGTGTGAACTCTTATAAATTCAAAACGTAGTTTCCCTGGGATATTCTGCATGGTGCAATGTTTTGGAGTTTGAAACAATGGCTTATTTCCTTTGGTTGGTAAGAACTGATTTAGCACAGTTTTAGAGGAGATAAGCCTATAGAAGTTCTTTGGTCATTAAGTCAGTGCCAGTGTATTGAGCTGAGCAAACAAAAAGTGATTAGAAAAATATGAGAAACACAAGTCAAAAGTGAAGGTAAACAAAATAATATCCAGCCTCATCTACACTGAGAGATAGCAAGGAAAGCTGAGTGAATAATATCATTTTGAATCAACCAAAACATTTTAGGTCAACTCAAAACATTTTTTGGTGTTTTGTTTTGATTTGCCCTTGTCTGTGTTTTGTTTTGTTTTTTAAATTGGCCGAAGTGGAAAATGAAATGCTATTTTGTAGTGAAAACTCAAAACAAAATTTTGGAATTGGTTGAAATGAAACATTTCAACTTAAAAACAAAATTTAAAAAATAAGGTTTTTTGTTGCATGGCTTTTTTTATTTATTTATTCCCCCCCCCCCCAAAAAAAAACTATTTGTCAAATTCCACACAAATTTGATAATAGTTTCAGAGCCCCCAAAATGCATCTTTTGGCAAAATCTCTATTCACAGAAAATTTTTTGACCTGCTGTAGTTTCGAGGAAGCCTGTGATTCGTTATGCGAGGCTTCCTGATGCATAAAATATTAAAAAGTGAGACAGTCTTTAGTAATACACTGCTCTGCAGTTCCACTTAGCGTCGAATCCTCTGGACACTGGTGGACAGCCTGCGGTCCTCATTGTGGGCCACACTCTGCCATAGATTCTGCACAAGCTATTCTTACTGAAGTCAATGGGAGCTGCACAGATATTTTACTATAGCAAAATTTTGCCCTAAGAGCAAAAGCCAACTAAAAAGTGTCTGTCTGCACTACATAAAATCTGATATGGAATAAAATCTATTATTCATTGCATATTGTTTTTACCTGCGCTTCTATAGATTTATTTTTATTGAGCAAATTATTGCAGATCTTAGAATTAACATGCAACATCTAGTTAAATTAGCTCTTTCACATTATTCAAATGCATCCTCAACCATCAGAATTTGTATCAGAACTGTCCCTATTAAGCAACAGGCGTTGCCTTTGCTTTACTTCAATGGAAGAGATTTAAATTAAGTATCTCTGCCGACCCGAGACCGGATCCTGCCAAGAGCTGAACGCTATCAACTCTTAGCACCTTGCAGGATTGGGCCATTAGTGTGTCTTTGTGAGAGTGTACTACATTGAACTTGCTACCTTACTTCGTCTCACATGTCCCATTCTAGCCCAGTGAGGCTCTTTTACTCAACCCTTTCTCTTCTGGGTGACAGTAAGATGTGTAAAGAGTTGTCTCCTGGAATGGCGCTGTATATTATTGATAAACAATATTACTTTAATCTCTGCATATTTACTCATGGATTGGGTGCTGGGTACATTTAACAAATGTAAAGAAAAAACAAACCTTCAGGGTCAGAATATTATTCTATGGGCTTTTTAGGATAGGATTCTGCAGCTTCCTAAGGGTACTAAATCTTTATATATTATCTATGCTGACACTAGCCAGATTGGTTAATTCCCGATTGCTGTTCTATCTCATATCTAACAAAAATATTTTCTCCACACACTCACTGGAACAGGTAATTACTGTAGCAAATGCAGACTAATTTGAAGTGTTAGCTGTTAATTAAAACACTGCCAAGGTGTACCATTGTCTTTTGGTGTAACCAAAGCTCCTATTCAGACTTCATTAATCACTTTACAGTTATTGTGTTGAGGAAGGTCAAGACAATTGAGATGCCATATCAGTCTGAAGTAAACAAATTCCCTTTCTCCCAGGTAGCATGCCATTTGCAAAGTCAAGGGACACACTGTACCCATGGGCATGGTGTCTCCTTTGTGGTCCAGTTCTCAATGATAATTAAATGTTAAATTGGTACTGTCAATGCTCTGTAAACCAAACCAGGTATCTGCCCTTTGCTGGAAATTTAACCCAAACTTCCACGGATGAATTAGCGTGCATCATAATTAAATAATCAAGTCTTCCCTTTTAATTCACTTGGAAACAGGAGACCTCTCTTATGGAAAAAAGATCAGCTTTCTTGACAAGCTAATTAAGTTGCCAAACTGTCCAGCACAGTACAGATTAAACTAACAGACGTTAAGCATGCTATCCCAACCTGTTCATTTTCTTATCATTTCTGCGGATCTTCAAGTCAAAATGTTTTGCCACTGTTGGTTCATCCATAGTTACAGAATAGTTCTTTTACTCCACCTGACTCATTTATTATGCATTCAACTGTCAGTCTCTCAGTTATAGCTTCATCTGACAGTCCTGTGTTCTGCACCTTAAATTGACATTAAATAATACTGATTTCAATGCATAGTATGTAAAATATTGTCAGTCCCTATAAGTTTATGCTATTCACATATTTATCAATATTATCCCATAAATTGTTGATTTAAGATAATTTTAAATGAGCTTTTTAAGCTCCCAAGCCATTAACAGAAGTTATACAAACAATTAAAAATATAAGAGTAAATGATATTCTTGTCCTGTACTATGAATAATTTTGCATGGGAACAAAACTATTAAAGTTTTCTTCAGTGGTATATAGTGCTACGGTATTGTAATTCATTAAAGTTAATGCCACATATATGACAATATTGTACGTAGTACAATAAACCAGTACTAGACATTAAAATTTCTGAAGCAAAAAACTTTAATGGTTGTGTTTATATTCAAAATTTATATATAGAATTTTTTTCTCATACTTTTTTAGTTTCTTGGAACGATAAGGTTAGGATTATATTGTTCATCTTACAACAGCCAATTATAAATATTCTGTGAGACAAATTGGTACAAACTGCCCTTGGATTACTGTGCAAAATCATTTCAAGTACACGTAGACATTAAGGTGTAGATGCATTGTTATAATACAGATATTAATTATACTATAGACAGATGCAGAATGTTGTTTTCACTAACTAATATTCTGGCTAGTCTTTTGATTTCTATGAACAATCAATCACCATTGGGTGCCCCTTTGTCTTAACTCTCAAAATATCTGCAGGATTAGAGAGGATTAGTTTGTGCTATGAATATGTAGAATATGAATATGAAGAATATGTATAGAGTTGTGATGGGGTGCGACTCACCACTGCGGCGCCCCCTGCTGAACGTCTCCAGAATCAGCTCTGCTACCCAGTGCGAGCCAGTGCGCCCTCTTCTGGTGACATCTTGCCGCTGTCACTCTGCTCCAGGGACCCACGTCACTCCCAGGATTGCGACGTCCTCTTCGTGACACAGCCCTCTGGCTGTGCCGCACTCTGTGCTCCCCCCTCCTGGGGGACAGTATCACAGTCCACTGTCCAGCCACTTCCCTCAGTGGCTTCTGCAGCCAGTTGTCTGGCCACTTTCTCAGTGGCAAGGTAGGAGGAGGTGCGGAACCCAGGCCTGCCCACTACCCTGGGTCCTGACCCAGGGACCCTGTAGATGGCAGCCCTGTCCCCTCCAACCTCTCAGTTTCTTTCCCTGGGAAACATCCCTGCAGCCCCCAGCACTCTCTTTGCCCTTGCCTCAGGGCCTCAGCCTGCAGATCCCTGCAGCCCGCCAGGACCTGCCTTTAGCTCCCCGGGTCTCTACCTTCAGCACTGCTCTGTCTGGGGTGCTTGCTACCTTCAGCCTGCAAGGCAGTCAGTCTTCCTCCCTCCTCAAGCTCCAGGAAGTGACTGAAGCAGCTGTGGTCTGCAGCCCTTCTTATACGGGCCAGCCTGGCCCTGATTGGCTGCTCCTCTCAGCCCCTCTCTGATTGACTGCCTCCTGCGCAGCCTCCCAACGCTATTAACCCCTTAAAGCCTAGTGTGGGGCAGGCGCCCCATCACAAGGGTTTATATCATATTTGCATTACTTTGTAATGAACTCTGAAAACAAGTCTGTTCATATCCATATCCACATTACTATGCAGTATAAAATTTCCTTATGTATCTGCCTATCTACAAAACATGCATAAACATCATGTGGAAACTGGTGGATCATCTAAAAAGTTTTACTGTGCATAAATTCATTTTTCTGATCAGTTGTTTTTAGACATAGATGCCTTGAAATACTTTTGCTGTTTGGAAATATTATAGGGAAACTGGTTTCCAGTAAAAGTGTTAATGTGAAATTAGTTATATACAGGTTGCATATATGTGTAAAGGTAATTTTGCGGGATCTCAAGTTGTTTAATTTTTTCCCCTCATGCAGAGCATATCATGTCCCTAGTGGAAAAATACTGGCAGTAAAGGTAAGCTATTATAGTAATTTTCTGGGGGTTTTTGTTTTGTTTTTTAATCTTGACGTTGGTTTCTTTCCTCTCCCTTTTTATAATTATCAGACCTTAATTTGCTTCATTGCATTAAAAAGCCACAGTACTTACGTAGGGAAATCGCATTGCATAATCTAACAAATCAGAATGACCACAGAGCTCCCAGATGACCAGCTTTCACATAGTGGTAGCTGGGGGATTATTCTGCATTGTGCTTCAGGCACCACTACGTTCCCTCCCGCCCCCATTTAAGTTAAGTGGGTAAACCTGAGAATAGCTGTGGTGTACCATGGGGATAAAAACCAGTTGGCAATGATTCTGCTTTACCACCTGAATCCTAGAATTACAGAAATAAGTGGTAGAAAGGTCTCCTAGGCCATCCTATCTGTTCCTCTGCTGATGCAGAAGCATTCTGTAGAGTATATTCTCTTTGTGCTTTGTGAGATGATTATTTCCCTTGGGAGATTGTTCTGCTTTCTAAGAGATCTTGCTGTTCTGAAAATTTTCTTCATAGTCTTCCTAAATTTTCCTTTGATCATTTGTATCCAAGTGTGGATTTCTCTGTGTCAGCATTTTTAGAACCTCCTCTGAAAGTTACTATTGAATTATTATTATTTATTAAGATAAGTGACAATCCGGACTGAAGTTTGACTGAAAGCTGTTAACAAATAATGAAAACTATTTCTGATTCCACTGCACCAAGTTAGCATATGTAGAGTTGAATAACAAATACAATTTTATATTTTAAAACAAAATATTTGAAAATAAGTTCCTCCTTTACTTATCAGCCAAGCTCTAAACGTAGGTTTTTTGTGATACCACTAAAACTTAAAAACAGTCCACAAAGTTCAGGAAGATATTTGCCTTTTTGTGTTCGTTATGGTTTGGCAACTTAAATAGGTAACTAAAAAAAGAAAAAGTTTACTTTAATTAATTTATGTAAAAATTACTTAGAAATGTATGTACGATTTAAGGTTTTCATTAGGACTCTCTTTTCTCCCATCCTATATCTAACCAATGTTTTTTCTAACATCACTGAGTTGTGTTGAATTTTATTTTGCGAGGGGAGGGTGTATTTGCAGCCTAGCTTCTGAAAGCAACATTACCACAATTTACTCGTGTGAATTGAAGTAAATGGAGCTTCTGGTTACGGGCCTGTGCCATAAGACCTCCATATAGGGAATGCTCACTGACTTCAGCGTGTGTTCCATGCACTGAGGGCTTCAAGGATTGGGCCCTGCTTTTCTGTGCTTTCAATCATGTATATTTTAATAAATTTTTCCAGCTTTGCCTCTGACTTTTTCTGTGGGGCAGATAAAAATTCCTTTTGTATTTCACGTAAAATAGATGAAATACATAATTACGTATTTTGATTTGACCCATTGAAAATTCCTGTGCATATGAGAAAAGCAAATGTTTGCTGACTCCCTTTCTCAACTGGCTCTCTGAATGCAGGAAATGTTTGAAGTCTAATGGCTCTCTGAATGAGAGCCCAGGATGTGGAACTCAGAGAGGAGATGAACTCAACGAATTTTGCACATGCATACCGAACAAGCGTCTTTTTTTTTTTTAAACATTTTCAAGTATTGTGTTTGTCATTGACAAAACCCGTGACAATCAAATGGAAAAGACAAGAATTCGCCATAGTCACAATAAACAAACAAGGGATCATTTTGTATAAGTAATTCTGAACAAGAATTTTAACAGGAAAAGACTTTTTTTTTTTTAAAATGTGGGGCCGAAAATGTTCTTCCCCAAGATTTATTTCTCTTTTAAAGGCTAAAATGACTGCCTGTTGAACTCTGCCCCCATCTCTCACTGGGTAGGAGTCCTGCCTCTTTCCATGCTCCTGCTCTCTTGAGAGAGATCTCTTCCAAGCCACATACAGAGGAGCCTCCCTCCCTCCCAGCCTGGCACAAAGTTACTCAGGCTTCTTTCCCCATAGCCCGATCTCCTGAAGCATGTTGCCGCCATCCCACTATGAGAACAGTCAGAAATTGTCTGCAAGAGGTGGTGGAGCAAGTGAGGGCACAGTTCTTGGAAGAGGGCGGGGCTTGTCAGGATTAACTACATGCAAGAGAGACTGATTCCCCCCACCCCACCTTTCATTTGCAAGAAAATCTTTCCCTCCAAAGAACCTCACCTGGTTGTTTTCCTCAAGCCCTAAGGAGTCGACCAGTCCCCAAGGGTTAGTTAGTATCTTGTGGGTTTGTTAGCCTGGATTTTGATTGCTAAATGTTACTACTTTGATTGTCCATATCAATATTAATTAAAATGTACGTGTTCTATGCCCTTTCAAAAATTATATTGCAGGACGTACGTATTGTCATGTGTTTATAACATCATGGTTGCAAAAGCAGGAATCAGGAAACCTGCATCTCTGTCCCCGTTTTGTCACTAATTTGCTCTGTCACCTCGAGCAAGTCACTTACTCCTGACTCAGTTTCCCCATCTAAAAAATGAGGGTGTTAAGACCTTTGTCCTGATAAGAATGTTGTGAGGATTGATCAGTGTAAAGCAGACAAATAATAGAGGACACTGATCTCTGAATGGAAAGGGCTACAAACGTGTAAAATTATTCTTACATGAGTATATTTCTGTTAAATGTAAATATTACATATGATTTGACAACCCAAGTTAACACTTGTGAAACCTGTTGATTAGGTGCTTTGTGCTGGTGGATAGACTTGAAAATTGCAAGTAGACTGAGCAGAAAAAAAATACATGTTATAGACTGAAGCCCTCTACATCATTAGAGTCTTCCATAAAAACTTTTCAGCTAGATAATGCATGGAGGATTTAATAGATTTCCTAATATTAGTTATTTTCTAATTGGGGGAAAAATCCATCTAAGAGTGGATGAAAAATCCTAGCATTGTGTGTATTGTGGCTGATTGCCATTCTTCAGCTGCTTTAGTTTTTGCTGCTCTTAAACTAGCATTTAAATGGACCATTTGATTAATCATTTGTATACTGACTATAATACTCCCAAATTTCCTTTGAGTTGTACATACTGTAAAAGACAATTATGTCGCCACAGATTAAATAAGTGAATTAAAACAGAATAGCAGCTTAATTTGACCTGTGATTTTGCTCTCGTTCCCTTTAGTGGAACGTATGCCACTCCAGCAAATAGATGAAGTCATCCATGACAGCTTGTGATGAATTGCCGTATTTATACTGGATATTTTAATAGCCTCACACTAATTTAAATTGAGCACAGAGTAAATTATAATTCAGTCACTTGACTGCTTGTATTTAACTTGACAACTCATCCTTATTTGTCCTGGAGGTGTAGTGGAGAGCCGAGGAAATGTGCACAGGTATTTCTCTCTTAGATTTAACCCTTCCTATTTGAAATGTTAAGTATTCAAATTCTCATATGTTTTATGCCGCTTAGCATGTTTATAGATTGCTTTATTTTAAGCAGGGGAGTTGATATTCTTAATACTACTGTCATTATTGGGGCATTCTATCATTCCATCCGGAGGGAAGGAGCGTGTGGTGGTTCAGGGTCCAAGACTGGTAGACAAGAGATCTAGGTTCAATGCAGATGTTACACAGAGTAGCTGTGTGACCTTAGGTAACTCACTTAGGGTATGTCTACACTGCAATTCAACACCTGTGGCTGGCCTGTGTTAGCTGGCTTGGACTGCAGGGCTGTAAAACTGCAGTGTAGACAGGCTTCAGGTAGAGTGAGGGTGTGTGTGCGTGTGAGGGAGGGTGTGTGTGTGTGTTGCATTTCTGCTTATTGTTCCTTCTTCTTATTTGTTTCCTGGTTCCTTCTCCCTGAATTCAGTGTCCCAGTTCCTTTCCCTGTGTGTGTGTGTGTGTTCATAGAGTCGTTCTGTGCCTCAGTTTCTCATCTGCAAAATGGGAATACTACTACTTTCCTACCCTGGAGTGGCATGAGGCAGAATTTATTAATGCTTATGAGCTGCTCAGATACTCCACTGTTAAGCATCATAGGTATGTCATTAAATAAAATGCTTCCTTCCCAGAACTCTCCTCTATAGCGCCACTTGTGGATCATCATCTCTGCTAATTTTGGGAGAGCCGCAGTTGGGTCAGACACTTCTGATCCACCATTCCCACTCTGGCTTTGGCTTTTCTAGAAGGTAGATAGTTGCAATTAGCACCTGAGTTTTTCTCCATTTGTCAGGAATGGCATGGTGTTAAATCACGTTTTTTTCTGCCTTGCGAAAAATTAGTTAGTCCCAGTTTAAGGCGTTTTCTGTGTTTAAAGCTGTTTTGCTAATGCACACCACATTACACTTCATTTTAGTTACTTATTCAACTTGTGGTTACATATGGCAGTAAATCCGTGTATTAATTTAGGGTTGTACAAATAAAAAGTAAAACTGCAGTGGGCATAATACTAATATATGTAATTATAATACTGAACATCGGGATGTTTGTATACATTTTTGTTTGATATTTTCTCAAGAAGATATACATGTTATGACTCATTTTAGTTTTCAATATTATATATTTAAAAAGTTGAAAACACTTGATTATATGAAAATGACAGTAATGGAGAGTAGTATGCATGAAGCAATAAGCAGTCAGAAGCATGCAGTTGCGGATAGCGGTCCAAGTCTGTTTGGCCATGTAGCATTCTGCAGCAGAAGACCAACTTGATATAGTGGCTAGATCGAGCCGATTCCTCAAGTTTGAATGGATGTATCCAAAAGTTGAAAAGATGCTTTCTGTGCTTGATGAACTTGCTAGATGTTGATGCAATTGTTTCCCCCAGTTTCCTAGTTTAAACCAGGCTTAAGCTGGTAATTACCAGCGACCTGTCCTACACTGGTTTTCCCCAGGAAATTGCCAACCCTGCCACAGATTAAGGATTGACCCACAACTGTTTCCTTGAAATCAGTTGAACCATTCTGCTCCTATATGTGCTGAATGGTGCTGAGTAAATTCATAGCGAGTTAATTTATACTTGATTAATTTAACCTCTCTTTCTGCTCTCA